CATCTCCCCTCTCCCGCTCACCTACCGTAGTGCTCTCAAAGACCCCAATTGGCACAATGCTATGTGTGAGGAATTTAATGCATTGATCAAGAATGACACATGGGAATTAGTACCCCCCTCCCCTCACCAAAACATCATAACTGGAAAATGGCTTTTTAGGCACAAACTTGGCCCTACAGGTGAGTTAACCAGGTACAAAGCTCGATGGGTTGTTCGGGGCTTCAACCAGAGATTCGGAGTTGACTATGATGAGACATTTAGCCCTGTGATCAAGCCACCCACCATACGTATCATTCTCAGCCTTGCTCTCTCTCTCGAGGATGGCCGATACATCAGTTGGACGTTAAAAATGCCTTTCTTCATGGCCATCTGCAGGAGGCTGTCTACGCCTCTCAGCCATCTGGATTTCAGGACCCTCACAGGCCCAATTATGTATGCAGGCTCAAAAAGGCTCTCTACGGCTTGAAACAGGCACCCCGCTCATGGTACCAACGATTTGCCAGATTCATCTACACACTGGGGTTTCGAGGGTGTAAGTCTGACACCTCTTTCTTTATCTACTCTCATGGGACAGATACAGCCTACCTACTTCTCTATGTTGATGATATTGTCCTCACAGCTTCCTCTGACTCTCTTCTTCGGCGCTTGACTGAGCGCCTTAAGGGGGAATTTGCTATGACTGACATGGGTGACCTTCATTTCTTCTTGGGTATCAATGTTCATCGGACAGCTCATGGTCTCTTTCTACATCAGACACAGTTTACTCACCACATTCTTGAGNGGTCCTCCAAGCGTCAAGCCACCATTTCCCGGTCCAGTGCTGAAGCTGAATACCGAGCCGTCGCTAATGCCGTTGCCGAGACCAGCTGGATCCGAAATCTCCTATTAGAGGTACAGCAACCCCTACGCCGTGCCACACTCATCTTCTGCGATAACGTTAGCGCTGTTTATCTCTCCACCAACCCAGTTCAGCATCAGCGCACCAAACACATTGAGGTAGACATTCACTTTGTTCGTGACAAGGTGGCCCTTGGCCAGATTCGAGTCCTTCACGTGCCATCTTCCTCACAGTTTGCAGATATATTCACCAAGGGCCTCCCGTCCATATTATTTCAGGATTTCCGGACAAGCCTCGGGATTCGCCCACCATCGACGCCGACGTAGCTGGGAGCACGTTAAATATATTCTATATTTATGTTAATTATATATTCTGTATTTATTGTATAGAGATTGTTTCCTATTGTAGAATCCTACCATGATTAGGATTAGGAATAATTTGTGTATATAAACACATGTACTCCCACATTATTGTTTAAGGAAATTCATAATTCTTCATGTACAAACAATTTTATTTTTTGATACAATCTTCTAAAAGAAATTTTTAAAAACATTTTAAAAGAAGAGTAACAAAAGAAAAGAAAAACAAAAAAAAATAAAAAAGTGAGAGATTTAAGAGTTTTTGCTATAAAACATTTAGGGCAACGTAGGAAAAAGTTCACTTACTAACACCTATGAATGAAGTATTGGACGGCCTTCTCCCAATCATTACAACAAAATATAATGGTCTCTGTTGTCTTCTTAAAAATATGGGAACCTGAGAGTTATTTCAACAAAACCTGCGTCACTCGTGAGTAATTTTCTGTTTTACAAGTGCACTATGAACAAATCTCCCATGTGCCTTCGTTCAAGTCCTCGCAGTTTCTTCTGGCAATTGAACTCCTTAGATACATTTAAGTGGAAGAAAAACACTTATTCACCCAACGCTGCTGTTATCTTCTTTAAAATAAGCTCAACTCCAAGCCGAGGAGATAACCTGGGAAGAACTTCCTGTGACAGATTGATTTGAGGATATTTTAATTATCCGTATAAAGGGAATCAAGTAAAACATGTTCCAGAAGCATCAAATGGTCAAGTGACCTGTAATATATATTCAGGTAAATAAAAAATGGCACATTAATCTTCCCTTGCTTCTTACTTTCCATGATGTTTTGGGCACTAAATGCATCTAGGGTGCAACGGAATGAGCTGTTTTGTTTTTATGGGAAATAAAACTACATACTCCCTCCGTCCCAAAAAGATCTATCCGTTTCATTTTTTTGCGCATCTTATAAAACACTTCTACCCACATCTAAGAATCTAAGATGCCTAAAATTTACCATATTTACTCTTTATTGTGGGTAGAAGTTGTATTAAAAGTTTTTTGGCATTTGAAACGAGATAAAAGTGTTTTATGGGATGCGCAAAAAATGAAATGGGTAGATTTTCTGCTCTCTTCCTCCCCCTTTCTATTTTCTGCCCTTGTTTTTGTACAATCACCTGAGTTAGTATCAATGGAAGAACTACTCCATTTCTTAAATATTAACCATCCTAAGAAAACAATTTCACTGGCAAAACCCATAACTGATCAGTCTGTCATTAGTGGATAAACAAAGTCAGTTCTACTGCTACTATTACTATAGGAATATAGGGGAACAATGCAACATGACTAGGTTGTTATTTTATTTTATACGGAGTAAATTATGATGTTACTACTACATTACTGGAATATGTTTTAAAAAACCCCTGAAAATAGTTTTTTCGGGGTTGTATTAATCCATCGCACTAACTGCCTGTTTGGATTAAACTGAGCCTAAATGAATATACTTAACTAGTTTCATTCTCTATTTGGGACTTCTGCAATTTCAGTATCAAATGTCAGCACATGTAAAAACATTCACCCAAACTCAGTCCATTTTCCTTATCCCAAAATTAGGGGTAGTCCGGTGTTGGGACGAACGAAACCAAACCAAACATACCCAGTAAGTCCTACTCGGATAGTCGGATGTATGCAACCCAACCCCTCCTAGTAGATGAACTGTTTCCATGAAGGTATGAATATCCGAATAACCGGGATAAATGTCATATGTTCTACTTTTATGCTTTAGTTGAAGAGTGCATTCGGTACTGATTCTGCTTTTGGTGGATTCTGATTCTAAAAATTAGATTCTGATTAGCAGAATCATCAACCGATTCTTACTAGAATATGAAACCGAATCCGCTCAAAAAATCTAAATTAATAAACCCTTCTTTCTTGTACAATCAGCTGATCCTGATACAAAAGCGAGACTGATGAACTGGGCAAGATGAGTTATATACATCCCTTAGATTTGCCGATTGCAAACACATCAAAACAGAACAATTTTTGGGCAATGGGAGAACCCATCATAATTCAATAAGCATACAGAAATGGAGATTCACAGAGAAAAAAAGGAAACTGAAATTACCTCGGTGCCATCAGGGCGGAGTTTAGCCAATACAGGAATCTCAAATTGGTAAGCCTTCTCCCACTGGGAGTTAGTCGTGATATCTCTCACCTCTAAATCAAAAGCGGATTCGGAGAGGGAGATAGCTGCATGGATCTTCTCTTTCAGGCCGTCACACAAACAGCAGCCTGGCTTTGAGTACATTATCAGCTTTCTCGGAGAAGAAGAAGAGGACGAGGAGGAGAATGAAGAAACCCTAGGAGGCCATTTGCGGCGGCGATCGAAGGAGAGGAACGCGCTTCTAGAAGCAGATGAGGCTGCTGCTTGCCCTATTGCTCCCGCTCGCGCGGCGACCGATGCTATTGCAACCACCATATCTCTTCAATCTTGACGAGAAAAGCAGTCGGCAGTGTTCATGGTTGATCATACATACAATAATGCTAAAGACCCAAAGTATCTTCTCCTACTTCCTCAATTCATCACTATAGAAAGCACAACAAAGAACATCTAGCAATACATTCTCCTTCCCATGGTGTAACATGGTTTCCAAATACTTCCTCTATCTACCATAGATTTCCCGGACACTTATTCACAGGGTCAAACTTAATTCATTTGTTTGCTTATTTTTACTACTCAGTTTACAAAATAATATAGTGTTGTCACCTCTAGTTTTGTAGAACTTTTCATGTAGTTTATTACTATATAAATTTTACATTAAAATTTTACCCCTATATTCAAATAAATCAAATTGAAAATAAAGTCGGTCAAGCCTCGTCCCTAAATAGATTACAATTTTTTTTCTCTCTCCTCTCGATAACTTTTGTTTGTTTACGCGATTTCATTAAGTATTTGATAAAATAAAATATTCTTGTCACGTCTTGTTTTGTAGAACTTTTGATGTAGTTTTTTAATATGTAATTTTTATATCTTATTGATATACCAATTTGTAAATAAAATGATTTTAAAAAAGTAAAAAATTTTACTCCACAATCCGCGCAATTTGTAATCAAATTGGGTACGGAGGAAGTATATGGGTTGAACTCTAATAAAATTAGGTGGATTTAGCTAAATGTGGGGTGAATTTAGCACCACCCTTAAACAAAGTGATGTGTTCATTCATATAGTAAAATCTGATTGGTAATAAAATTGTAACAATATTTTCTCCATCCAGAAGCTTGTCTTGATCACTCTTTTTAGATACTTGTCCTCTAATGTCTCCATAGTTTGTGTGTAGAAGTCTTATTCTTAAAGGCATACTTCTATCTGGATAGGCAAGATCGAATAGCTCCACAAATGAATTGATTGAAGATACTCTAGTCTTTATCCTTTACCTCTTCTAATTTCTCTTCTTCAATAGCAATGTCAAGACCCTAGAAAAAAGAGATCAAGACATCTCCTTGCCGCATGCCGAAATGGCTCGTGCCATCAAATTTCCACAGCCAATTTCAAACTAAAGTAGGAAGCTCGCCATGATGATGAGGACCTCGGCACCCAGATGAAATATTTGGGACAACATCCTTTTGCTAGAATAAGTGTCGTTCACTAGGGCGTGAACAGTGAGGACCGAGAATGTTGATAATTTTTCATGGACTAAAAATTGCAGGGATAAAGTAAAGAGTGGAATTAAAATGCGTAATTAAAGAGCACACCGATGTACACTGGTTCACCAAAACTTGTGGCTGCGTCTAGTCTCCCGAGAGACTCTCCCGAGCTACACCACTTTCGCTAAGATTACGGGTGCTTAACAAACCGATATAACCTGAGAACTTGAGTCCCACAAGCCTCAACGCACTTTCTCGAAGATACCACACTCCTAGACTTCAACCCAAAGGAATATATCCTTCCTTCGTACAACCAAGAGAACATACCTTCCTTCAAGTGTTTACAACACTTAATCACTCAAGAACAAAAATTCTCTTAAAGAATAGAATATGAGTAAACTAATTTAGATTAAGAACACACTCAAGCCCTTAAGAAATGGCTCTAAAAAGCTATGTAAAATTTATGGAATGATGCAATGTAAAGTTATGAAATGTGTGAGGAATAGTTGTGAAAAGTAGACCCAGGGGACCGCTTTTTATACCCAATAATAAGGTGCAACTGTTGGAAGAAGATTGGGGTTGATTGGCATAATTTTTGGAAATCAAATCAAAAATTGGTCTACAGAAATTTGGCATAACATCGATCTTCATATAGTAAACATCGTTGTTTTGGCTTTTACTTTCCTTTAGAAATGGCTAACGGTCATGTGAACATCGATATTTTGAAGGCTACATCGTTGTGAGGATTGTTGACTTTCAAAGATGGAAAGATTTTGTCTTAAATAATCCCAATGGTCAGCTCTAAACATCGATATTCATGTATGAACATCGCTCTTCTAAAACTGCCTACCAAAACTAGTGTGGGCCAACCTGGCCAAAACATGGATGTTTAAAGTCCAATATCGCTGTTTTGAAACCTACTTCCATGGCTAAAACAACGTCTTTGGCTATGCCTACATCGTTATTTTGGTTTGGGCGCTAGAACCATGGTTTGGCAGCCAACGCCTAAAATCATTGTTAAATATCATAGTTTCCCAAATTAAAAACCAATTTTTAGAAACACTTATTTGATATAGAAACCAATTGTAAAAACTTAAAAACCACGTCGTTAAGGTGAAAACCACGGATCACCAAGTTAAAGACGGTTTTTATGGTTTTTGACCAAAGACCAAAAACCAAAGGTGGTTTTTAGAAAGTTTTTGTTGGCAAACCATTTAAATATGCCCAAAAGTAAAAACCAATCATAAAAAGTTGAAAACCACTTGGTTGATTCAGACACCAAAAACCAACACCAATAACCAACGCCGAAAATCGAAGATTATGGTTTTTGAAAAACTAAATGTTTGAAAAAACCTTTAATTGTATCTAGAAGCCAAAACTGAAGATAAAAACTCAAAAACCATTTGGCTAAAATCAATTCTAATAACCAACGCTGAAAACCGAACACCGATAACTGATGGTTATGATTTTGGTTGGGCAAGGACCAGGGGTTTTGGAAACTTAAAAACATTTGGAAAATTCTAGTTTGATGCAAGAAAAATATTTTGTTTTTAGCCAAGACTTAGAGAAATTAAATGGGCTTGTTACAACAAAAAACTAAGTGTAACACCCTAAAACATACCCCAAAATTATTAATGAAACAATTTTCAGTTCATCACTATTTGGAATCAATTGTATACTTGTCATGATCCAACTGGTGGTTGTAAGTGTGATTCAGCTACGTTTCTACGAGCACGTTCAGAACGTGAGAAGACTATGGATTTTTTGATGGGTCTCGGCGATGAGCATATTGGCACTGTGCGTGGTCGAATCATCGGGAACGAACCTGTCCAAGATTTGGATATGGCCTTTTATTTGGTTTCTCAAGAAGAACGTCAGTGTACGATTACTCGTACTCGTGACGACCACACTGAGGAAGTGGCATTCGCAGCCCGATGCCCTCTTGTGTTCACATTGTGGGCGTACGAATCACAATGTTGATACGTGCTTTGAGCTTATGGGTATTCTAGAAGGTTATGGACATGGTTGAGGTTCCATGTCTCAGTGCGGTGGAGGAAGAGGTGGTGGTCGCGAGCTCCAGTCCGGTGGTGGTCGAGGGTTTGGACACTGTAGCAGTCCGGCGAACCCTTTGGCTGGAAGCAACAACGGTATGGCAAATGCAGTCAATAGTGAAGCCCTGCTAATTTAATTGATCAAATGGAACACATCATGTCTCTTCTTGAGTCCTCCGTGTCTAGTTAATATAACAGTATGTCTCTTACTTCTTGTGAATGGTTGATTGACAGCGGAGCATCTCATCATATGAAGGGAAACCAATCACATATATTTGATATTACCACTATTCCTCCTTGCGGGATTAGTTTGCCTCATGGTTCCTGGGTTCAAGCTACTCAACAAGGAAGGGTGCAATTAACCTCCAATCTTGTTTTGTATGGAGTGCTTTTTGTACCTAATCTCAATTGTCATTTGATATCTGTTAGTTGTTTGATTTGTGATAATTCTTGCCATGTAATTTTTAAAGAACTTTGTTGTGTAATACAGGACCGCTCGTCGAAAATGGAGATTGGTCGGGGTGATTTGCAACACGGAGTCTATGTCTTTTGAAGTTCGTCAGCTCAAGCTCTTGTCTCCACCGTTGATCTAGTTCTTCTTTATTAACGTTTGGGTCATTCATCTCCTCATTTACGTAGTCCTATTGGTTCTAATAATCACACTTCTACTATTAATAAGTTGCAAACCTGTGAAATTTGCTTTATGTCAAAACAAACTCATACTCCATTCATTCCTAGTTCAAATAAAGCTGATTCTGTCTTCGATTTAATTCATTATGATATCTGGGGTCTATATTTTGTTTGTTTGGCTACGGGTGTGCACTATGTTACAACCATTGTTGATGATATTTCACGGGCTGTTTGGGTATATCTTATACAAGAAAAGAGTGAAGTCACTTCTTGTCTCTAACGATTCTTCTCTATGATAGCAACCTAATACTCAAAAACCATCAAAATTGAATTCTCCATTCAGATAATAGTACAGAGTTTCTTAATTCTTCTTTACGTCAATACTATGACCAAATGGGTGTTTGTGTTCAAACCTCTTGTGTATGTAAACCTCAACAAAATGGTCGTGTCGAACGAAACCATCGACACATTATAAATGTGGCAAGGGCTCTAATGTTCCAAGCGTCTCTCCCACTTGAATTCTAGGGTGAATGTGTCAAAACTGCTATTTATCTCATCAATCTTGCACCGACAAAACTCTTTGTTTACAAATCTCCTCTTGAAATTTTGTCTTCAAAACCCTGTGAGTTGAGTCATCTCCGAGTATTTGGGTGTTTATGTTTTGTTCGTCAAAAACTCCCAAACAAATTTACACCTCGGAGTATCAAATGAATGTTTGTTGAGTATCCTTGGCATATGGTATAAAAAGATGGCGTGTGTCCGATTTAGAGACACATCGTTTTTTTCAACCTGGGATATCTCGTTTGATGAGTCCACCTTCCCATTTGCCATTCCACCGTCTACTGATTCACGTCCTCATCCCCCGTCACATGGGGACTTTGTTAGAATAAGTGCCTTCACTAGAGGGGGTGAATAGTGAGGCACGAGAATGTTTATAAATTTTCGCGGAATAAAAATCTCAGGGATAAAGTAAAGAGTGGAATAAAAAGCGTAAGGAAAGAACACACTGATTTTACCCTGGTTCACCACAACGTGTGGCTAGTCCAGCCTTGCAAGAGACTCTCTCGAGCTACACTACTTCCGTTAAGCTTACGGGTGCTTAACAAACTGTTACAACCTGAGAACTCGAATCCCACGAGCCTCAATACACTTGCTCGAAGATACCGCACTCTAAGACTTCAACTCGAAGGAATATTCCCTTCCTTCGTACAACAAAGGGAACAAACCTCCCTTAAAATGTTCACAACATTAACCACTCAAGAACAAAAGTCTCTCAAAAAGTAGAATATGAGTAAACTAGTTTAGATCAAGAACACACTCAATTCCTCAAGAAATGGCTCTAAAAAGCTATGTAAAAAGTTTATAGAATGATGTAATGTAAAGCTATGAAATGTGTGAGGAATAGTTGTTAAGAGTAGACCCAAATGTGTGAGGTTTTGGTTGAATGAGTTCCTTGACACTATTCTTTTTATTTGATTTTTCTTAGTCAAAGTTTGTAAGCTTTAACTTTGATATGTTAAAAAAAAAATTCTTTTATGATATAAATTTGATATTAATATATTCCTATTGAAACATAGTTTTCAAATATCAATTCTTTATAAGATATATCTATGTATAAATAGAGATATTAATGGTCAAAGAGTAACATTGGAGACCGTGAACAGTCAAATGTGAATAATATTTCCGAACGGGGGAGTAAGACATTTTGAGCTTCAATTACTCTCAATTTGTATAATATATTCGTATTACAAAATAGAATTTTAAGAATTTCTTATAAGATAAATCTAACAAATCATTTTTATGCTAAAATACATTACAGTTTTTACTCAGTGGAAGTTTAAAATTCATCTAGATTGATTCGAAAAGACAAAACTGGATAAATACACTGGGACGAAGAAAGTATTTCTTCCCAATGCAGTACTTTTAGTCATTATGCATTAGTCATTCTTCAAGTAAATATTCACCGTCACTTGACATTATTAAGTGCTATATAGGAAATAAAATAATTTAAGTGTCATTTAAAGAAATGATTTAAGTTTTAGTGCTATTTAGTGCAAATATTTCTTCTCTTACATATGTAGCATCATATACTCGTGTATAATAGATACGGCGCGCAATGTCTTAAATTATACAACTACTTAATTATATGCAGATTCTTCATTCATTCTGGTGCTGTGGTCAATATATATAGTTAATTAGGGTTCTTCTTCTTCATCATCATCATCTTCTTCTTCTTGAGTAATAATGAAATTCATCAGTCCAAGAAAAAGCATTTGAAAGGATCCAAAGTGTTAGGGCGTTGAGAAACCAAAAAGTCGGAAAGGAACCACATTCTGGTAGCCTCGGTTGGACTGGAACCCAACTTCGAAGTGGAAGCTTCGTTGCAGTCTGCAAAGTACTTTCCACTCACATTTCCCAGCCTCGGATGTGTTGCCACGTAGCATGTCGTCGCTGCAGCCTATAAGCCGCTAGATCATATTATATGCATGGGTGCACATATATCAATACATCTTTTTCTAAATCCATCACTACCTTGCTACCTTTTGCTTTATTATTTAATTAGTCTAACTCGATCAGAACGAACCCCCAGCTTTTAATTCAATGCTTCATCTATCCAACCCAAATCATTTTGCCAGTTTTAATTTCGCAGAGATTATGGTCCCGTTTGGCATCAGTGTTGAGGTTAGCGGTAGTATTTTGAAAAAATTATCCGACGATAGCCTTTAATGTTTTTAAAAATAATTTATATCATTAAAATTTTCAAATCAATATAAATAAAAAGTGATTTATATGATATTTACATAGAGAAATTTACCTAAATAGGACTAAACATAATTACTTTCCCAATATAGGATCATATGTATTTATTTCCCAAAAAAAAATTGGGAGAAAAAAAGGAGAAAAAATATTAGGGTAAGAATATTAAAAATAATATTTTTTAAAAATAAAACGAATAATTCAAACATGATTTTTCTTTCATAAAACCAAAAAAAACGTTTAATTACCTGCGGGGTTGTCTTCAAAAGTTTGGAAGCCAAGAAAAAGACCAGCTCTGCCAAGGATGTAAAGAATAACAATTGAATATCATATATAACAATAAAACTTAAGATGCACCAAAATTTTATTTTTAAATTTTACAAATACAATTAATTAAATAATTTGAATTAAAAATAAAATCGGTCAAACTTCATAAATACAAACGAGAAGATAGCTTTAGGACGGACGAAGTATGTATATGTTTGGTGTACAAATAGTTTAAAAATCTTGTTTTACCTACCATAGATAAAATAGTCAATTAAGCAACTTTATGAAAACTTAAAATTTATGGCATATTTGAGAACTTAAATTAAAATTTCAATTTGAGTTTCACTCAAATTCTATGCTTAAAAATCTTTAAAATTTGAATTTGAATTTAGAGCAAATTCTTCTAATTCATACTCCGTAATAAAACTTATATATCGAGTACAAATCTATACATACACCTCTCCGTATGGTATCTTCAGAAATTCAAAATTTTAAATTTGAAAATTAAAATAGAAGATTTAAAATGAAATAATAGTTTTCGAACACTAATTTAAACTCCTAAATTTGAAATTGTAATTTAAATTACTCTTTTATATTAGCAGGAGGAGAGTGCGTGGTACACATCTGTATAGATCAGAGTTTTTTGTTGGGGAGTAGTGAAATAAGAAAAAAATAAAAATCAATATTTTCTTATTATAAAAATGTAATTGAGGTGAAATCTTAATTTAAAATTCAAATCTAAGTTCCAAAAAAATCATTATCATTCTTAGTTATTTTAAGAATTAATTAATAAACACAGCAATAAATACAGTATAGAGTAGCCAGTAGGTCGTCGCTTAATAATAAAAGAAATAAAAAAAAGGAAGAAGAAAGAAATAATGACCAGTAAAGATTCCATCGCGCTCCCGAGTGAGGCCGGTTCTCACAATCCCAGGATGAACGCAATTTACCGTCACGTTTGCCTTCATTTGCTACAACATTTGCAAGACAAGACGACACAAACGTATCAATCCATGTGCCCCCAGCCCCCCAATTTTCAATTAATTTTTTCATCGCAACACAACAACAAATTTCGCTTTCCACAATTGTATTTTTTTCCTCCAAGCCACACATATAATACTATATGTACAATATATACTTCATCCGTCTCGGGAAAAAATCATGTTTAATAGTATGTTCTTATAAAATTTAAAAGAAATGTTAAAAATCATGTTTTGTAGTACGTTCTTATAAAATTTGAAAGAAATGTTAAAAAATCATGTTTAATACTCTCTCCGTCCCACAAAACCATTCCTCATTCCTTTTTCATTCGTCCCAAAAAAACATTTCTCTTTTCTTATTAAAAATTCATTTTTATCCCTATTAATTGTTAACCTACCTATCACATCACATTTTTTCTCTATTAATCTACTCATCTCATCCTACTTTATCCATCACATCAAAGGATATTTTCAGAAAGTCAACACTAAAATAAACTCTCCTTAAATTCTTTAAAAGTCAATATGGGAATTTTTTTAAGGGACAGAAAGACTAGTATGTTATTCTCTTTAAAAGGAAATGCTCCATTTGTCTTAAAATTAATTGAGAAATTTACGTAAATAGCACTAAAACATAATGACTTTTTCTAAATAGATCTACATATGTTTTTTTTCTAATCTACCACTTTTAGTCATTATCCCTTAGTCATTACTTAAGTAAATATTTGGCATCACCAGTCATTATGAACATTATTAAGTGCTATTTAGGGAAGAAAACAATCTAAGTGCTATTTAGAGAAATGACTTAAGTTTTAGTGCTATTTAGTGCAAATATTTCAAATTAATTTCCCACTTTGACTTTCAAAGAAAGAATTGTCCCTTGCCAAATATTCATTACCAAAATATAGAATAATGTATTATTGGAAATTTTCTAAAGAACGAAAGTGTAGAAAATTTCATGAGCCAAAGGGAGTAACTTTGGAGTGGAATGGGCACTTAATAAATAATTTGTGTGTTAGGTAGGTGGGGGAAAAATAAATAAAGGAAGGGAAGCTTACTTTGAGTCTCTGCGAAAGTTCGTTGGTGTGCAAAACGTTGGCGAGCTTTGAGAGCGCATATGCACGCGTCGCATCGTACTTACTGTAGCTCGTCGTCCCATGCAAATTAATATGTGCAATGAATTATGCATGCACCCAATTAATTCCACATATACCAATGGATATGATTTTTTTTAAAAAAAAGAAGCCTATTTTGACCGGTCACGGAATTAATTATTGAAAAATGAAAATTATTGTGAGATTAAGATTAAACTTGGGTAGATCACCAGTATTACTTTAATCATTTTCCTAGCTAGAAGCATGTGTCGTGTTGTAAACAGTGTCGGCACAACAAGTGTTTGGCATATACATAGAGAGTGTCGAATGGGTCAAAATGCGGTAAGAAAGTGTTGGAAAGGCCGGTTTGTCTTGTTAGTATGTGGTACCGCGGATTAGATGAGACAAACACATACTCCATCCGTCTCAAAAAGATTTACACCTTTCACATTCTACTTTTACTCATCACATCAAAGATATTTTTGGAAAGTCAACACAAAATTATGCCTCCCTTAATTTCAACTTTAGTCAAAACGTATCACATCATACCTTTTTTCTAATAATCTACACATCACATCCTACTTTTACCCATCACATCAAAGGTATTTTTGGAAAGTCAACACAAAATTATGCCTCCCTTAATTTCAACTTTAGTCAAAATGTGTAAATCTTTTTAGGACGAAGGGAGTATAAAGCATCAATAAATAATTAAGAAGGATCGGGGCATTTCACATTTTCTTTGCACCAACAATCACCCTAGCTAGCTCTATCCCATTTCATTTGTCTTTGTCTTATCATATGAGGAACAATTTTGACATTAGAGTTAACTAAACTCGAAATCCACAATTGACGTGAGTAAAGGATGGGTTAAGGTCGGGACTCGATAGATAGGTTTGAACGTGGGCTTAGAAGAATAAAAACTACTAATTTTACGAACGAAACATTTTAGGCATCCCAATTGAGTTGATGTCTTCCAGTGCCTTTCACTTTGAGCGGTTCAAGAACCCAACCGTTTTTTAATTAGGTGAAAATAAATAAGAGTAAAAAGTTTGAATTAAGATAAAGAGTTACATCATATACCACCTCCCTTACGGAAAAACCACTTTCTGTTTGGAAAAAGTAGGATTTTAAGAATGTGTAATTTTGATATTATTGTCTAAATTTGCCTTTCTTTATAGTAGGACACGATATAATGCGATAGATAGATTAATACTTTCCCCGTTTTCTTAAGACAACGCATCTATCATTTTTTCTATAAAACACTTTCACTTTTTATTAAAAACCACATTTACCTATATTTTTTCTTACTTTACCTATCACATCATACTTTTTACTAATAATCTAACCATCACATCTTACTTTTACCTATTACATCAAAGATGAAATTGGAAAGTCAACTACAAATATACACCTTATTTTTTCCTAAAAGTCAAAACTAAAACTATTTTATGAAACTGAGGGAGTAATAAATAAATAAATAAATATAATATCTTAGGTAAGTTAATAATTAGTAGAGATAAAAAAAGATTTTAATTGAAAGTAATTTTTGAACAAATAAAAGTTGAAAGTGAAGAGGTTTGTTTACGTACTCAGTGCATTTTACGGTTAGCATGCAAAGGTACATAGAGAGTAATATTCAAATTTGATTTTTGGCAAAGGTAGCCAGAGAGTAACATAAATTTTAGTGTTGTTTAGTGCAAATATATTTCTTTATATATATAAATTTTAGTGTTGTTTAGTGCAATGCTTTGTAGTCAATTATGCTATGTATAAGGCTTCTCTAAGTACTACTCCGTAGATGTTAGTTCCATGGTATTAGCTAATCTTTTGGCAAATCTTTCTCTGCAGCATAGTTGATTGATTTGTTTGCATAGCTTTTAATTGATGATTTCCACTCTGCCCGACGAACTTATACTATGTGCATATTTTTTTTATTCTTTCCCACCATAATATATGATAAAAGTTTAATTTATCTCATCTCAGGTGCAGAGTTTATCTCTTTGAAAAGTTTTTTTAGAAGGGATAAGGATCGAGTAAAAGGAGAAACAAAAAAGTGAAGGGCCTTTTTTAACTTGGCACAGTGGAAGTGAATTGTACAATGAGCTGAGTGAACAAACAACGTGCAGGCCGATAAATAAGAATTACCTCTTGTCTTTGGTGATAAGGCGGAGGTAACTGATGGGGTCGCCGGAAAACCAGGTGTGGATGCCGGATGACACGTTGACGATCCTCCCCTGAACGCCGGTGCGCTCTGCCGTGTCGATCATCTTCTGAAGTAGTAGTTTCGTCAATAGGAAATGGCCCAAGTGATTTGTCGCAAACGTCATCTCGATTCCCTCCTCTGAAGTGTCATGTTTGTGTGTAAATTTGCCCGCGTTATTTCTATTAAAACAAATTAAATCCCCCAAACAGATTAATGGATATGAAACTACTTGGTTGGCACATTGTAGATGAATAAAAAATGGATTATGCTATGTGTACCCCAAGGTTTGTACCCCGCAGTTTTGCACCAACACTTTGTAAAACTAATTTTTGTTAACGCACCAACATTTGTGTCCGTGTGAATATTTATTAACGCACCAACACTTGTATCGGTGTAAACCATCGAAATATTTGTGCAAGCCTGTGGTGTATAAATGGGATATATTTTTTGGTGTAAGTGTAGCATGGTCCATAAAAAATCAACCAAAGGAACTAAACATAGTCTTTATATCCAAAATATTAGTGGCATACTTTTTGTCTCAAAGTAAGATTTATGCACAATAGTAATACTCCCTCCATCCCAAAAACTCATCATTTCCCTCTCTAATTCTTAATCTGTACTCCATCTGTTTAATAAAAATTAGTAAACTTTGACCTCAAATTAAATAAAAATAGAATTAAATATTAGTACAAAATTAATTCTATTAGATTTATTCTATAAACTATTTTTCAAAATATTATTTTATCTAATTAATGAGTATAATATATATTTTATTTAATTTTAGGTCAAATACTGAAAATGGTGGACTGAAAAAAGTTAAAAATGAACAAATATTTTAGGACGGAAGTAGTTATCACATCCTATTTTTACACATTACATTAAAGATATTTTTGGAAACTCAATATAAGAATATCTTTTTTTTAAATTTCCTAAGATTCAAAATAGGAATATTTTTTTGGGGCGGACAAAGGATGTTTATAAATTTACAAACCATTGTCAACCGTGGTGTGGCATCAAATTTCATTAATGTCACTAATATCAATCTGCTATATACAAATTAAATACGGGAGTATTTTGGATTGTGCATCATCCATTGAAGTATAAAAAACAGAGTATTAATTGCGGTAACATAGAAAATGAGAAAAGTGTAGCGCTAAATCTGAACAAGAGTAAATGTTTTGAACAATGATACTCATAAACTCCTGTCCACTACTATTTTAAAAACACACCCTATATATGTTAGGGTGACACACCAATTTTGAAAAAAAAAAATGTAATTGAATAATTTATAAAATTGTTTTTTTTAATTGATTAAATATTTGTCGAAGCATAGTAATAATTGTCGAAGCACAACATTTCAAAATTTATAAATTTCAACAAATTGAAATTCTGAGTTTTAATACAGTAATTTCATTTACATCATGTTTTGAAACAATAATTTGAATTTCAAATCTAGATTTAATTCAAATTTCATGTTTGAAAATTTTTAGGCCCGTTTTGTACATGGAATTCAAACTATGGAATTGGAATTGAGGACTTCAATTCCAATATTAGTGTTTGGTAGCACGAAAATTATTTGGATTTAGAAATGATAGTACAAAAAATGAATTGGAATTGGTGAATTCAATTCTATAGAATTGAATCTGATGAAATTTCAATTCAAATCCCATCAATTCCATATACCAAACAGACCCTTAAAAATTTTGGTTATACAAATTTCCTTAATTGATTACAAAACTCAATTGCCAGTCTATGTCTTCCTTCTCTCGTTTCAAATTTAAGAATTTAAATTTTAGAGTTAAAATTCGAAAATTAAAATGAAAACAGATTGTATAGAGGGAGTTAAAATTCGAAAATTAAAATGAAAATCTTAAGTTGTAACCTAATTAAATTGCGTTATGTACGTACGCACATGAGAATGTTGAGAGGCAAACGGAGCGATTCAAACTCAGCAACAAAACTCCGAACCGAAGCCAGAGAGCTCAGATCGAGAGGCATGACTAAGACTTCCGCCTCCGGCGACTCGGCCAGGATCCGGCACCTCGTCTCCTCCGCCGCCTTTATGTTCCGGGCCGGCAGGATCAGCCGCGCCCCCCGCTTTGCCAGTACCCGCGCCGTCTCCGCTCCAATCCCCGACGTCGCTCCTGTACGTACGTACGTACACGTCGAACCACCACCCATGAAGTTATATATTAGCTACTCCGAGAATAATTCCGGCCTGGTCTGAGGAGGCCCTCGAGATGGGGCAATTAATTTTACAAAAAAGAAAAGATTGTATTGGTTGAAGTAATAAATAACAAAATACCTGTGATGATGGCGGTGAGGAGGCGGAGGTCGCCGGTGACATCTTCGGCGGTGGACTTGGAGCCGAAGCCGGAGGGACCGGCGGAGCCGACGAGGTACCTAAGGGTTTCCAGCATTTTCTGGGTTGTAATAATATATAATACCCAATAATAAATCAAAGCTGGTATATATGTGTTTTTTTTTTTTTGGTGTGACGACGATATATATGAACAAGCTAAGTAGACGCAAAAAATAAGTCTATGATGTCCCCAAGCAACGCAAACAATACACACTGTGGATCTGATGATCCGGTGATGGATGGCAAATAAATGGAAAGCAACTTTTTTGCAGAGAATCGGATTGGGAATTCAGAATGTAGACACTTCGAAACAGGTAAATAGTACTTCTACTACTACTACCAGTACTTGATTATTATTGTTACAAGAATATAATGTTGTTGATGAAGAGATAGAGAGAGAGAGAGAGATTAGAAGTGAGATGAGAAGGTAGACTTTGATCTGATAAAAGGGAGAAAGTAAAGTATAGGGATGATTAGGACGTGGGGTGGGAGATGAAAGGACGACCAGACGACTTTCATATCCTACTTTGAAAATGATATGTTTCCCACTTTATTTTTTTTTTACTTTAGAACAATATTTTCGATAAGCGTTAAAACATAGAGACTATTTAAAACATGAAAGATGTATTATTCGAATTTATTTTGAAAATAGAAATTATAAATATCATATATCTATATCTAAAATGAAAAAAAACATAAAGCAAGGTAAATATGTATTTGAATATCTAAAAGAAATACCAATACCTTTATTCAATTTAGTATAGGTGGAGTGGATTAATCTTTTTGAGCGGATAATGATGGAGATGATTCTCTAGGATGCAATCACCTCTCTCTCACGCCTCTTTTTTTGTATTTAGTCTTAATTCTTTACGTCGGTCTTAATCCTTTCTTTTATAGTCTCGCAAAACTATTTTATGTATTACATTTGACAAATTTATGCGGTGTATATTTTAAAATTATTCTTGTAAAATTCTTCTTTGTTTTCATAGGTAAAAATATGGAGTGATGCACAGATTAATAATAAATAGATCTGATGTTATAGGTTAGTTAAGAGCTTTTTTTGAGGTTGAGTAAGAGTTAATATGAGTAAAACAGACTTTAATAAAAGTAGAAGTATCTTATGGTAAGAAAATTCATATTTGGTTTTAACGTCCATACTTATTTTATTAACCTTAATTAATACATAAACACTATAAGACATGTCTAGTGGGCTGTCTCCTGCCGGCATGAAGGAGGCGTTGTGCCCTATCACGTTGTGGCTACCACGACACCGCCGACGTAATGATGTGGGCTTGATGGTGGTCAAGGGCGTTGCTCCTTGTTTAATCTTAAATCAATCAAAATTTAGCATATCTCAATTTCAACCAATCATAATAGTTCACTTCTTCACACGTCATACGTCCTAACACTTCGTCAAGCTCTGTTAAGCCTCTGTCTAGCCCGCCACTACATGTGGCCTAATAGAATTAGACCTTTTGTAACAAAGAAAAAATCCACTTGAATTGTAAGACTATAAAAATGTAAAAGTGTAAGAAAGTCCACAATTTTAATGTGAATCTTAAGACCATATAAGTATAACTCTTTATGGAAAGTGTGAAAATCAAATGTGAAATTATTTTCTAAAATAGATTGAATAATAATAGCAAATAATAGTCAGAGACCTTGTAGTCCAATGACACCACTATGTGATACAGGTACTACGGGCGTGACCCATGAGGAAAACACGAACGAGGCCCAAGAAGACCCGGAGCGCATGGACCGTCCGCCAAGAAGACCCGGTGCGCATCGCCCGACGTTATTACGATTACATTTAATATTTTTAATTCATATTTCCATTGTAACGTAGATTTTCCTAGGCGAGCAAATTATAAGCTCCTTCGAGGGTTTCTTTTCGTTTCTTTACCTCGATGCTTTTATTGAACTCACAGGATAGATAATTTAGTAATTAGGATTTGGGGAATGTTTCCATTATAAAAGCTACGAGACCTTCCCCCTAAATCTCTCTCTCTCTCTCGCAAAACCGTAACCAGCGGCTAGGTTGTCCATGCGGCAAGGCTACGTGCGGCGGCCAAGCTTGTTGCGTGCAAATGGTACGTAACACTATGGTTCTTCCAAATGAGATGTCACGTGTCTGATCCCCATGAGCTTCATTAATAGATTAAAAATGTATGAGCATATACTATATTGTATTAGAAATTTAGAATCATTAGTTTCCAAAAATAACGAGAAAAAACAACAAAATGAGATATTTTGTGTAAAAAAATTATGTTCACTGTTTATCTGGTTAGATTTGACATTTCGACCCCTCTTTCTCAATTTTAAAAGCATGATGCATTATTAAAATTTATTTAAAAACAATAGAATTATAGAAATCATATCTACTCCCTCCGTCCCAAAAAGAATGGGACGGTTTGACTTTTTGAGAAATTAAGGGAGGGATATTTTGGTATTGACTTTCCAAAAATACCCTTGATGTGATGGGTAAAAGTAAGATGTGATGGATAGATTATTAGAAAAAAGGTATGATGTGATAGGTAAAGTATGAAAAAGTAAAGGGTAAAAGTGGAAATGTAACGGATTTTACGGGACACAGTTTTTTCTAAACGTAACAAACTTTTTGGGATGGATGGAGTATATCTTAACAAAAGTAAAGCAATGTACGTTTGTATTTGAAAATCTAAAAGAAATTGTAAAAAATTTATCTAGTATAGGTGGACTGATCTTTTTGAGCAGATTATGATTGAGATGATTCTTTAGAATGCCGGCCATCACCAAATGTCCAAATTACTCTCGAGTACCAACGACTTTGTGTTAAAATATTTTTGGTCGTCCTACATTAGTTAGAAGTTTGGTACGTGAACATGTTTGCTTGATTACAATTTGTTGAAAATAGTAGGATTTTATAGCGAGAAAAATAAGAAAAGAATAATCTGAACTTATAATTTTTTCAGATTTTACAACGGGAAAACAAAATAAAATAATAAAGTAAAAGGTCACCGGAGGTTGGAATCCGGAGCTTTCCTTAAGATAGTATCGCCCGCACTACAAAAAATTTGACTTTTTTTGGCATTAAATTTTGTCACAAATACATTTCTTACATCAAAAATTGCTACAAATACTTTTTGCAACGGAGTATTTGTGGCAAATTCTAGAATCTGTCACAATTATCTTGTTACAAAAAGACAAATTTTTTATAGTGCCGCCTCCCGCACTGGCCAACATGGACAATATCCTCCCAGGATAAAACTGCTAACGTGCTAGGTCTAGTGTGGTAGAGTCGTGCACCGACGGACGAGAACGACCGGAAGGTTAATTGCCGGAAAAGTGATCGAAAAAACAAATGAAAGTTGGAATGCAAAGAGAGTATTTTTCAAGTTGGTCTTCTTCTACTACAAATCTCATCTCCTTTTATAGGAGAGGCTTTGGCTGTTCGGATGGGTTGTCGTTAAACACGATGAGTCTTCGAAGACTTTTCACACTGGATGTGTGTTTCGTTATCAACGATCTATTCCTCTCATGTTTAATTTAGTCTCGTAAAGAGATAGGAGTCGCGCTCACGCCCTCGCCATGTCACAACGCTTCGCGCCCACGCCATCACCACGTCACGACGCGTCGCACCCACGCATGCACATGCCACATGCGTTTGCGTGCATGCGCGCGTGCGTGCGTGCCGTGCCAGACGGATGGCGGCGACGGCGGTGCACGAGGTATCCCTTTTTTCCTCCTCAAATTGCTTTTAGCATACAATTCAATGCTAGTATATAAATGGTGGAAGATGAAAGGTCCCAGAATCGATGTGGAATGCATGAGTTTCTTCCTTATAAGTGTCCGACTTCGTGAATTAATTTTTCATTCAAACGAGCACCATTTTTGACGCACAATACGTCGAAACACGCGTCTCATCTAAGAGATTATTTATCCATAATTATTTTGGAAAATAATTTTATGCACCTCGCTGAATTTACGTCCTAAATAGTCCCATTATAAGCCAAAAATTCCTACACAGTTTACACAAATGACACAACTGACTTGACTGGCTCTTAGGGGACTTGACAGGGAAAAAATTTCTAGACACCATGGAGAATTTCTCGGCTAGAGTGACCAAGTATTTTATGCCAAGTGGAGAGATGGGTGGTGGCAAGGTTGGTGTAGGCCATTTGACGTCCCGGGATATGGGTTGTGTAGGCCATTTGACGGCCCGGTATTAAGGATAGTGTTTCCCATCACTAGAGGACCAACGAATCATAGCCCTTGTTCGATTATCCTTCACAGAAAAACCATTAGAGTTAAACTAAATAGAACAATTATTATCACGAGTGAATTGACGAACAAGAATAAGATAGTAGATAATATGAGGGAAGATGAGGATACTATGTAGGGAATGGGGAGGGGTGGTGTTAAGGTGACAAGAATCAATAGAAGTAGTACGTACTTTAGATCCATTACCTACAATAATTTGAGAGGGGAAATGAATATCAGGATTAAAATATGAGATAAAGTATTTAGGTCAGAATTAATGTGAGGCTCTAGTATCCATTGGATTTATTTAAAGAAGAACACTGCAAAGTAGTGTTAAAGAAGAACTCGATAGTATAACGAATCGCGTACGAAATGCTTTCAGATCAAAGTTATTTCGGAGTATACGAAATACTTCAATATGATAAGATGTTAATTAAGAACAAATACTCAAAAATCGATACCCAATTTACACCACGAGACTCTATTTTATAGAGTCGAAAATGTCCATGATTGGACATGAACCTTCACGTACACATACGCGTACGTTCGCGCGGGGAAGAAGAAAGGCGCGAGTTTGAACGTAGAGTCTCTTGCGGTTTTTAGAGTGTATTTCGACGTTTATCCACTAGTTCGAGTCTTTTACTGTTTTGGACTCCGATCAGGAAAATCTTAAGGATTTTCATAAAGACTTGACTGGGTATGATGGTGCACCAAACCTTTGGCTGGGTATGAAGGTTCGGTGCACTCCGCGCCTCCTAGGAGACTTGACTGGGTATGAAGGTTCTGCTGCCACCCCTTGGACCCTGCTACCCGGGAGCTACTGCCCCTGGACCCCCGCAGTGAATTTGTAATATCGTTGAACGAGCGCACACTCCGCGCCTCCTAACTTGTTTGACAACATCTATTTAAATTCTTGCCCGAT